TTTCAGTAAAGAGACTGTGTAAAGTTAATCAAGGTAAAGATTCAATTTCGATTACCAAACTAGTTGACCATCATTTGAATTATCAATGAATCGCGATTAGTTACAATTAATCACTATAGCCCTAGAACCAAAGTTTAATTAGTGAAGAACCCACATTAACATTAATATCAGTCATCACTTAGCAAGTTATAGTGAAGAGCTCCCACTCTGTAGCTGTAAAAAAAAAAAACTTCTGCCATCCTGGTTGAATAAATGACCATAAAATCGTACCATCAGCCTGCTCCATCCCCTCCAGCATTCATCTTGGAATCATTTTAATGTTAAAACATAATGTTTCCAAGCTGGCTGTCGTATCCATTGTGGCTGCTCGAAAATGTCTGACAGGAACATCATGTTTGCTTTCAGAATTCTTAAGAAAAATAAAAATATTAGAAATCTCGACATATTCAGCTCTCCTTAAAACTTCTTCCACATGACAGCTGTTCAGAGAAAAATAACAGAGTTCATATTCCACATCTGGCACATACTTTCCCATTACTCGTCTGCTCGAATAAACACGCTAACATGAAATATGTGTATGTTTTGCTGTTTTGCTTCTGTGCGTGTCAGTCTTATCATCTAAATGAGAAGCACCACCCTGTACTGTTGCTGCAACGATCTGTTGCTTCATCAGTCAGCCTTCTAGTTATATTTCCAGATGATGGAGCCACATGGGCCCCATCAATCCTGAGATGCACCTCCCAGCACGGTGGAAAGCTCTCTTAACTTTTAGCTCTGACTTTCATACGTTCCTGTGATGAAACCTGTTTTTGGTTATGTTCAAATTTTTAAAACTTCCTGGACCTCCTCTACGATAATCAATATATAGTAAATGCCCATGTCAGTTGTTGGAGCGGGTTTAATTATCAGCTATACTTTTTTGTTTTGAAATATGATTTATAATGGTTTTGAATGCTAGGTTTCTTTCTTTGGAAATGTACGTTTTTTGAGGGAGAAAATGGTTATTGTTATCAAAAAAATGAAGCAATATTTCTTCCGGCACCATCTAAATATTAACCCTTCATAGGACAAGTTACCATTTATTATCACTTTATAAATGGAGATTTATATCCAGCCATTCGGCTAAGATACTGCTAATGACTGTACATGTTATTTTGGTATTTGACCAATTGGATGAGCCCTTGAATGATATATTATATTATAATATTAAATTATGCTGAAAAATAAATAACAATTTAAGAAAACAAAAAAGTAAGAAATGTAAGCTCCTTTATCCGCTTTAAAAATCTAAGGTTATGCTGTAACAAAACATTATTTTCCTTCACTCTGAATGTTTTTTATTAGTGATTTCTTATAGAAACACTTTTGTAACTTTTCTTAATATATTCGGGCAAGTGGCCGTTTCTTGTCATCACATTTAATTTTTGCCATCAAAATATCCATATTACTTTGATGTTACAAAGGTAATAATGTCATGCCCTGTCCTCCAATAACAATCTTGGCTTGAAATTTTGATTTCCAAAGCATTTCACTGAGTGCCCTATAAAGGGTTAAGGCATTATTTTGTCACCTTTTTTTGATATACAGTAGAGGAATCGCCAGTGAGTTAGTTCCCCTGTTATGCATGTATACTATTTAATGGTTTGTAGCAGTTATGTTAAATCTTCTATATTTTAAAATTGTTTCATATTCATTCCTGTTATCTTTGCTTTTTTTTTATTCAAGTCTTTTTCAAGACGGCAAAAAAAGGAGAAAAGATGTCATATTTGTTTAACCTACATCTGTTAAGGCTGTTAAAATCAACCTCTGCATACGCTAACTGCTGTATAATTGTTTGTACTGTGCAGCTTAAATATGGTAAATCTGTGCACGCCTTCATTTTGGACAAATCCGTTTAGAGATCAGTAAATGGAATCCCACAAAGGCTGAGGACGGAGTTCTCCATAATACAATAGTCAATGTGACATTAAAACCCCCCCGACAGTCAGCTCCTCTGGTTTGCTGCTTTGAAATTTAGATTTGTAAATGTGATACTCCGACAGCGCTGAGGAAACAGTTCTGTGCCCCACACAGAGCTGTGTTTGTGAGGATGTCTGGTTGTATCAGGATCATCATGTCTGATGAGAGCCGGGAAAGCTTTACCCCCCCCCCGTCCCCCTGTAGGAGACACCGTGAGACTGGGGCAGGCTTCTTCTACAGAGGTTGTTGCTCGTTTACCCTGCTACACACTGATAATCAGCTCAGAGACACACCTTTTAAAAAAAACAGCCATTATGGTGCAAGTGTTAGGATTATGATGAGTGAGTCTTTTAAACCCTAATAATACCTGCTTCTTCCTCATATGTAATCAATGTAAAATAAAAGGCCTAAAGTTAAAAAAATCACTTTAAACAAAGCTGTTAGGATTATTTTTATTGATGATGTTTAAGCCTGTTAAACCCTAACAATACCTGCCTGTGGCGTGTCACAACTGATGTTTTCCCAATAAGTTTATCTAATTAGGACAGTTCTTCTGTCAGGATGTGGTTATCATCTTCATTATGTACACAAGAGAGATTTTGGGAATGAAATGGGGGCACAGACAAAGTGGAAAAGGTGATGTTTTTACAGTGACCTTTACATTATGTTTTCTTTTTTTTGTTTTTTGTTTTTTTTAATAATACATTGAAAACCCTACCAAAACAGCTAATAGCAGAGGTATATAGTACCATGCAACAGTATGCAGACCCCTCGCACATTTTGCCTTTTTGTCATGACAACAAATGTCAATGTGCTTCAATGGAATGCTTACCCTGGGGGAGTTGTATAGATCCATACCGTAGGTTAGAATATCAGCTGAGATGACGGCTATTAGTAGTGCCCTAGACAACGCTGGCCTTTATGGAAAAATGAGAAGAAGGAAGCTGTTGTTCAAAGGAGTCCCTGAGAAGTAAGAAGTCACTTGCAGTTTGTCACAAGCCATGCTGGGGACCCAGAAAACACCTGAGAAATATGCTTTTCATATGAGAGCATATATGTTATTATTTGTCACAAAGCAAAACACAAGATGTGCTAATAAAAAAATAACATAATGGTTGCAGCAACAAGCTCCAGTCATGCTTTATGCAGATCAGAGTTGATGGGAGATAGTTGGAGCTAAATGAGAAAGAAAAACACTCTTCAACTCTTGAGCTTCTGTTTGAAGGTTATCTCTCAGCAAAACAAACCTAAATATACAACCAGAGCTTCTATTGATTGCTTAAGATCAAGCATGTCAAAAACTAGTTCTGAAGCGGAGTTCTACTGCAGGGTTGGAACATTTTCCCACTTTTAGACACCTGAATCAGATGATTGCAGTTCAGCAAAAGCATGTTAATCAGACTTCAGTAGAAATCAGGGGTGTTGAAGGGAAACGTTTCAATTATGCAGGACATCTGCCATAGAGGACTGATTTTGAACACTACTGGTTCAGATTTATGCATAATGATGTGTTAAGGGCTGGTTATACTAGCAGCAGTGTGTCGCAGTGAGCTTGTCGCAGGTATGGCGCAGACATTTTTGATTTATGCTCGATATTGAGGCGTGGTCTGCGTTATGTTTATTCCACTCCACCATGCAAGAGGGGGAAATCACGAACTAGCTGTGGGTCTAGATATGGCGTGGGGTGAGGAAGTGGGGGCAAGTTTGTGCGACAATGGAGGGACATGAGGTCGAAAAAGAGCGGGGATCCAGGTGGAAAAAGGGTCCCAGCGTTCTCACGTACCTCACTCTTCTAGCTGGTCCATCTTCACGAGTTGTTTTCCACAGTTGTGGTCATTCAAACAAAACAAGCCGCTAAGGTACCAAACAGGAGACGCATAGTGTAGAGTGGATGTAGATTTGACCAATCAGATGCCTCCTGTCTGCGGCATTGTCTGTGGTCACCTACAATTTGGGAGAGGTGCAGCAGAGTGTCTGCGGAAGGGGGCAGGAAAGTCTCTGCGTTGACCGTGACACCTACGCAGACGACCTAGTTTCGAAGCATAAATCAGCCTTTAGACTGGACCAGTCAAAGTCCAAACCTGTAGCCATTTTAGACATCAAAATTAAAGGGACAGTTTGTAAGATTTACTTCCATCTAGTGGTGTACTAAGAGAATTACAAACAACAGAGTGGTGCCTCCCCGTTAAGCTTGTGAGAACTACTCCCCAAGCCAAGGAAGAATGTTCAACTCTTTCTGTTTTGGAGAGGACTTGAATAAGCCTTTGCTAGTTAGCCGGTATGACTTCTGTGAAGAATAACAGCAGCTGAAGTCGGAGCTCGACCAGAGTAGACTAACAAACAAACTAGCGGTCTCTGCCAGGGGGACAGATTGGTCGGACTAAACTGCCCTGTTACTAACATGACTCTAAAATAAACGTGATTGTTATGCTGAATTTCACCATCTGTCAGGAATAAAAACCTGAAACTTCTTGTTTCAAACGCCTTCGCGCCGACACATTTTCAGATACAGCTAAAAGACATAAGGCTTACAAGTTTGTCTATTGTCTATTCTGATGCAACATGCCGTCTGCCATTGGAACCACCGCTCTCTATTTAATTAGAAATTACTAATTCTAATTCTACTAATTCTACGAACATTTTGTTTTGGATGTGATGTTATTAGACTTTTACAGAATATGTAAGCCTATCTATTAAAGCCATACTTGATTTTTGCTATAAGAAATTTCCAATTTCTAACACTCTGCCCCTTCAATTCTTTTAGAGATTCTCCATCCAGGCTGACTGAGCATGTTTATAAAGATTTCATCTAAAAACCTGCTGCTGTTTAAGCTTGGTCTATAGCACACTGAAGGGGATGAGCTGGAGAGAAATATGCATCAAAGATTTGAGATTTTCATTCTAAGCGAAACATGTTAAAACCTCTCTCACTTCTTAACCCATGCACTGATAGATGCTGGTCTGCATAAAAATCTCAACACAGTTTGTTAAAGGTGAAGAAGAAGCTCCTGCTAACTACTCTGTCTTTCTTTCTTTGTTAGCTCTTACCCACTGGATCTCTACCTTCTCCCAACCTGGTGTGAGAGACTACTCGCTGCTCACCCTTGACCTGACTAGGGATGAGCTTATTGTTGGTGCCAGGTAAGAAACCGCAAATCCACTCAGGTTTTCTCCCTAAAGAGCCCATTATAGCGAAAGTGATACCCCTTCTGACTCACTCATCCTGCGTGGTTTTTGGATAATGACACCTTTAACTTGCTCCACCGAGGTCCCTCTGGAGCAAGTTTAGCTTTAGATTTGGCAGGAGGAAGGAAATTGAGAGAAATGTGTCATGCTGCAGAAGTGTGCATGTGAGCATGCATGTTATGATGAAAGGATATGAGCTGAGCTTTCGTCTGGTTTGGCCTCGTTACAGTCATGCACATGGAAATAATACTGATATTGCATGAATGTGAAAGATCTCAGACTTCTATTGAATTGATAATAATTTACTGAGCTGCAACATAGCTTCTTGGCTGGGAGATACACACACTCATATACATCTGTGTTTTTTCTCTCATTTCATTGCAGGAACTATATTTTCAGACTGGATCTCCGTAACCTTTCCCTAATACAGGTAGGATTTATTATGTATTTGGCTTTAAATAAATATTTAGAGAAATTATGTTGCTGCATAGTGAATTGTTGCACATTGTGTGTTAAATTTAAGATGGATAATTGTGCTTTTTAAATTTTTTTTTAGTCAGGGTCTAAAAATAGTTCAATTCAAATGTATATGTTTTACATATAAAAACTTTTCTCAATAACAAACATCCATCCATCACTTTTCTGTCACCCTTATTCCTGCTGGGGTCACGAGGGGTGCTGGTGCTCCAGCTCCAGCTGTCTATGGGCAAGAGGCGCGGTACACCCTGGACAGGTCACCAGTCTGTCACAGGGCAACACAGAGACAAACAACCATTCACACGCACACTCACACCTAAGGAGAATTTAGAGAAGCCAATTAACCTAAAAGTCATGTTTTTGGACTATGGGAGGAAGCCAGAGTACCCGGAGAGAACCCAGGCATGCACAGGGAGAACATGCAAACTCCATGCAGAAAGAAAACAGTTATTTTTTAAACATCAATCTTTGCACTGAAATATTCTACCTGTCAAGATTTGTGGACATTAAAATCTTCAGTGAAGCAGTATCTCCTGGTCAGACCCTGTAATTCAATGAAAGGGTGGAGTCAGAGTAATAAAATATGCACGTCCAGGAGAAGGAGAGGGGGTCACTCCAGTGGCTGGAAGTTGGAGAGGATTTTGCTGGTAGTCGCAGGGAAGTGGGCTGCCATTTCACTGCCGTTTGACTGAGAAGGGCCATTTTGAATGGCTGCTACTGTACAAAAAGAAATATGTTGTTTAATTATTATCTTAATAATATTTACATCCCTGTACTTTTTTATTTCTTGTATTTTTTCCCCATAAAACTAAAGACATACAGTACATTTAAATTGTTTTAAATCATGTTTTAAATACTCAGTTGTTCCTTTTTTTAATCTCTTTTTGAGAATCTTTATGCATCTATTTTTTCCAGTCACATAACTGCTCTTGTTACATCTCTAATTTGAGCGTATAATTATCAGTAGAAAGGCAATGACAGTCCAGGAGTCCAGCTTTTCCTTTTTCCTGAACAACCATTTGTTAGCTGTCTGACTGAGTAGGGCTACAGAAAGGATTATTGTTTGATGGTGCATCTAGAAATAAGAAATTCTTAAATTAAAGAAATAGTACACCCAAAACATGATTAGCCTTCATTTTCTACTCACCCCCATGCTGAACAACACTCTGGAGTACTTTTTTGATATCTCAAATGCATCTGGAGATCTGGGAGGCTTCTTGCTGTCTGCTGACATTCAAATAATGGAGGTCTATGGCGCCTGAGGCAGAAAGGTCCATAAAAGTCCACAAAAAACGTGTCAATATTCCTCCATACTGCTCGTCCAATGTATTCCAAGTGTCCTGAGTGGGTAGCATCCAGAATTTACTCGAAACGAAGTCATTTAGAATGTTTTTAGAGCATAAACAGTAGTGTATAGGATTTCCTGAAAGCGCGCGCGTGCGCGTTCACGACGCTACGGAAGCCGGCAGACCAAACCAGATGAAAGTGTTTGCTCTGCCGATAATGCAAGCGTAGAAGAAGAAATGTGCTGTTTACCTGTGCAAAGAAAGAAACAACGAAAGAAAAATGTCTGAGGACTTCAGTGTTGAGGAAGAGCATGAGTTCTTTGCCGAGCTGAATGCGCACTTTCATCTGGTTTGGTCTGCCGGCTTCTGTAGCGTCGTGAGCGCGCATGTGCGCGCTTTCAGGAAATCCTATACACTACTGTTTATGCTCTAAAAACATTCTAAATGACTTCATTTCGAGTAAATTCTGGATGCTACCCACTCAGGACACTTGGAATACATTGGACGAGCAGTATGGAGGAATATTGACACGTTTTTTGTGGACTTTTATGGACCTTTCTGTCTCGGGCACCATAGACCTCCATTATTTGAATGTCAGCAGACAGCAAGAAGCCTCCCAGATCTCCAGATGCATTTGAGATATCAAAAAAGTATTCCAGAGTGTTGTTCAGCATGGGGGTGAGTAGAAAATGAAGGCTAATCATGTTTTGGGTGTACTATTCCTTTAATATAAATCCAGATTAGTTGGTTTTGGAGGCCAAACATGAGAGTTTAATACATGAGCCCCGACCAAAGCTGACCTCTACCATCTTTCAACAACTCAAGTCTCAAAGTCCTTACAGAGGTGGACTCAAAAGGAGTTATCATTCTAAGCCGGAGGTCTTCAACAGGGGTCCGTGACCCCTAGGGGTTCCACGGAGGTACTGCATAGGGGTCGTGAAAGTTTTGGCTGATTACTTTTTTTTTATTTCCCCCCCTGCAATTTTTACACTAATTGAAATATATTTAATACACATTAACATGAATTCAACACACTTTAGTAAACAGATGGCTGGAGGCAAAGTCATCAATGCACACATTCAGCGACACACAGGAGCTCTTTTAAGCTGGGCACCATTTCATTCACAACACCTGTCCCATCAACCAGGAATCCAGAATCAGAAATACTTTAATAATCCCAGGTTGAAATTACTTTAGTCACATTACTCCATCTGTAATAGAGTGACTATAGGACCAGTTTGATATAACACAATTTCATACAATATATAAAATTAGGGGGTCCCCGCTCCATCACCATCAGTTTGGGGGTCCTTGGCCTGGAAAACATTCAAGACCCCGGCTCTAAGCCATTTCCAGGTTTGCATTGGACAATTATTTCGCTGGAAGGTCGTGATCTGATACATGAGAAATCGAGGTGTGAGAGGCAGCATCACCACTCTCTCTTAGTTAAACACAACAACTCACAACGAACAGTAAAAATCCTGCATCCTTCAACCTGCTGGGTTTCCTTTGATATAAAAAAACTTTAGCCAAAATAATGAATCAGTCTCTGTAAAATGATTAAAGATGACATATGTCAGCGCAATATAAATAAACTAATTTCAATTGGTGGCCCACAACGTTTTTCTATGTGTTTTTCATGTAAATAAAAAATTAGCTGCTGGGTAAAATATTGACTATAAGTAAAGATAAAGAATAATACAATTGTATTATTAAGTAAAGACAAAGAACCAATGATGGAAAATTGCAGGGGGGAAAATAAAAAAAAAGTAATCAGCCAAAACTTTCACGACCCCTATGCAGTACCTCTGTGGAACCCCTAGGGGTCACGGACCCCTGTTGAAGACCTCCGGCTTAGAATGATAATGCCATTTGAGTCCACCTCTGTAAGGACTTTGAGACTTGAGTTGTTGAAAGATGGTAGATGTCAGCTTTGGTCGGGGCTCATGTATTAAACTCTCAAGTTTGGCCTCCAAAACCAACTAATCTGGATTTATATTAAAGGAATAGTACACCCAAAACATGATTAGCCTTCATTTTCTACTCACCCCCATGCTGAACAACACTCTGGAATACTTTTTTGATATCTCAAATGCATCTGGAGATCTGGGAGGCTTCTTGCTGTCTGCTGACATTCAAATAATGGAGGTCTATGGCGCCTGAGGCAGAAAGGTCCATAAAAGTCCACAAAAAACGTGTCAATATTCCTCCATAAACGCTCTTCCAATGTATTCCAAGTGTCCTGAGTGGGTAGCATCCAGAATTTACTCGAAACGAAGTCATTTAGAATGTTTTTAGAGCATAAACAGTAGTGTATAGGATTTCCTGAAAGCGCGCGCGTGCGCGTTCACGACGCTACGGAAGCCGGCAGACCAAACCAGATGAAAGTGCGCATTCAGCGTCTGCTCTGCCGATAATGCAAGCGTAGAAGAAGAAATGTGCTGTTTACCTGTGCAAAGAAAGAAACAACGAAAGAAAAATGTCTGAGGACTTCAGTGTTGAGGAAGAGCATGAGTTCTTTGCCGAGCTGAATGCGCACTTTCATCTGGTTTGGTCTGCCGCGGTTTCCGTAGCGTCGTGAGCTCACAGGCGCGCGCTTTCAGGAAATCCTATACAATACTGGTTATGCTCTAAAAACATTCTAAATGACTTTGTTTCGAGTAAATTATGGACGCTACCCACTCAGGACACTTGGAATACATTGGACGAGCAGTATGGAGGAATATTGACACGTTTTTTGTGGACTTTTATGGACCTTTCTGTCTCGGGCACCGTAGACCTCCATTATTTGAATATCAGCAGACAGCAAGAAGCCTCCCAGATCTCCAGATGCATTTGAGATATCAAAAAAGTACTCCAGAGTGTTGTTCAGCATGGGGGTGAGTAGAAAATGAAGGCTAATCATGTTTTGGGTGTACTATTCCTTTAAGTGAATTGATCCTTGAAATAATAAGTTAAATAAGATTATTTGCCAATGGAATGAGTATTTCTACTCTTAAAATAAGATAATTAGATAATTTGAACTTGAAATAAGACAATGCCATTTTTTTCTTATTTTATATCTAAATTGTCTTGTTCAGCTGGCAAAGTGTCTCACTTACCTCATCAATTCAAGACAAAACACACTTATTTTAAGAAAAAATTACTTATTCAGATTCCAAATTTTTGCAGTGTGATGTCTCATGTCCACATCATATAAAGTCTCTTCAAATGTGTGTTTTCAAAATATTAAACTATGTTCTTAGATCAAGGAAACCGCTCTCATTCCATTCCCATATCTTACTAATGAAGACGACTTTTTATCCTGATAGAGGAGCCGTCCTAATTAGATAAACTGCTTGGAAAAACATTCGTTCTGATACACAACAGGCAGGTATTGTTAGGGTTTAACAGGCTCACACAACATCAATAAAAATAATTCTAACATTGCTTAACGGATTATTTTTTAAACTTTAGGGGTTTTATTTTACATTGATTACATATGAGGAAGAATTTCTTCTACTTGTAAATTGAATCACATCCTTTAGCTTACTAAATTTCAGCTCTTGTAATAAAAGCAGCTTAGTTCAAGCATTAACTGTAATTAAAAGCAATGTCTTACTAGAAATGTCCTAGAAGTTTTGACTGCAATAAATGAATTCAAAATTCAGTATCAAAGCATTAAAAC